CTCCTGAATGTAACACACGTGCGATGCAGGTCCCAGGGAAGGATTTGGTCTCGGATGAGTGCGAACAGTAGGAAGAAAGGACTGGCACAGCTGTTAATGTGTTAGTTGAACTGGTGGGGAGAGAATGGAAGAAATCTTTAACATATCAAACTAGCTAATGAAGGAACAATATCAGCTGAAGGGGGGATTGGGAAATAGATGCTGGAAGTTTCGGAGAGCAGAGCAAATATTTGAGTCATTAAGGGAAGTGGGAAGGTGAGCCTGACTTCAGACAGTGGGAAGCAATATCCCAAAGTTAATTTTTTTTTAATTTTTACAAAAGCTTTATTGAGAATTTCATACATGCATATAAGGTGTTTTGATCAAATCCATGCCCACTCCCTCCCCTCCAACATTCCCCCCTATGAAGAGGTAACCCAACAATCTTTTAAGGATTAGATACAAGCTCCCAAATACTTTAGACATTTTTGGCCTTTGGAACAGAATATGTTGCTAAAAGTCCTAAGGACATTTTGACTTTTAGCCAAGAAACTGGCTACATTTCTTTGGAGTCTTTTTACCTTAACTGCCTAGCCAATTTCTACCTCCTGTTCTTATCATACCATCCTCTGAAGGGGTTACCCAAATTGCCAATAGGGAATAGGGACACAGACCACTCTGGCTTCTTCTGTGCTGAACAGGGACACAGGGTGAGGCAACTGGAGTTAAACAATGTAGATTTCAGTGAATTTTTGCTTAAGAAAATGGAATTAAAGTTTGATTTGGCCTATGAAGGCAAAAAAATTATTAAATGTTTATATATTTTCATAGAAACATGAGTTTAATGAACACCAATATTCCCATTCAGAGATAGTTATTGGGATGCAGAATTCTTTCATAGCTTATACATGTAAGAAGAGACATCTTATTTTCATAAATATATGCTACAAAAATTGACTCTCTCCCTGTAGCCCCAGCTGGCCTGGCATTCTCTATGTACTCACAGAGATCCACATGCTTCTGCCTCTTGAATGATTGGTCTAAAAGTGTGCACCACCATGCCCAATTGTAGATATATTTTTATTTAAAAATGTATTCATTTCTGAAGAAAGATGAAAGCATGAAATTTTCAGGTAAATGAATGGATCTAGAAAATGTTATACTAAGTGAAGTAACACAAAGTCAGAAAAACAAACGACATATGCTCTCCTTTACACATAGATCTTAGCATCAAATCCTTTTAAATTCCATGTCCTTTTAATAAGATGATCCTGTACAGCAGTCTCTACTGCATGAAATAAATAACTACCATCATCATAACTTTAGCTGTGCCTGATCTCTAAACATTGTCACAATTAGGCTTGTTGACTGTTGGGCTCATTCATTAAAGGAGGGCCAAACAGGGTCATTGGACCCTCACCAGAGTATACAGCCACTCTTCTCAGCAAACTGTATGTAATTTGGCCCTAATCACACATGGTCTCCTGGATTTGGAGAGGGCTAAAGTATACAATCTGGGGAAGGCTAGGAAGAGAAGGCATGACCCATGCCGGGTAAAGGCTTTCAAGTGTGCATACCCTCAGGTCACTCATACACCTCAGCAACCCCTCAGTCATCTCTGTAAGTAAGCTCAGTAAATTCACTGGTTCCCCAGGAAAACTTTAATCAAATATTGGTTTGACACTAGAACTTTAGAAGGGGATAAAAATTGCTTGGTATCCCCAGGAAAAGAATTCTCATGACAGATGGAAAATTTATTTCTTAATGCTATAATGTCTCATAATTATTGTAAAAGATGTTAAAAGGATATGGGAATGGAGATAGTTTCCAAAATAGAAAAAAATGTAAGCTATAATGTCTCATAATTATTGTAAAAGATGTTAAAAGGATATGGGAATGGAGAAAGTTTCCAAAATAGAAAAAAATGTAAAAGCCTAAGGAATTGATGAAGTCTGTGTGGGTATGTTATGATATATAAAGGATGAGACAAAAATAATATACACATAATCTTAAAAAACAAAATATATATCTAGTCAAGGTTTATCTGAGAATATTTGTTTTTTTACTCAAGCTTTATCTACATAGCACATGGTAATTAAAAGTACCAGATTGGTGGAACTAACCTTATTGGATTTTTAACAGCCATACTTTGAGGCCCATACTAATGTGGTCAGAGGGACTTAAAGGACAATTTTGCCCCTTGCCCTCAAAGGTTGACTAAGTTCCAGGGAACTATTTAACATCTCTCACAATGTCCTGTAACTGTGGTGAGTCACCTGTCCTCTTGTTCAAGGAGGCCATGGATACCCCACGAGATGGACTTTAACCAGTGTCCAGTCTACAAAGAGGAGGGTCAACTCAAAGAAAACATTTCCTCCATGGTTCCAAGTGAAGCCAGATATGGTCAAGCAGGACCTTTGACTTATCTTCACATAGATGGAACTGGTAAAAGAAAGGAGCCAGGAGCTCTTCCCAAGCCCATGTGACCTCTGAGGAACAGATCCTCAAACGTCCTTAAGTATAAACATAAATGGATTTATTTGAGCCAATTGTATGGTCTTGAACACCCAAAAGGAAAGTATAACCCAAAGAGTAAAGTTATCAGTATATTTCTTTAAGAGTTCAAGGGATTACACTTCCCAGACATTAGGCTTAAGTCCATATAAAAAGTTATTTAGACAATTATTTCTCATTGATGATTTTGTTCCTAATTAGAAAGTGCTGCTCAGATGTAAGACTTCAAATATAGGTCTCCAATACTATAGTGCTCACCTGCAGCTAAGGGAGACAACCAGCTATTGTTCTAAAATGATGGATACATTTGTTTTCTTCCCCTATCTAGAAGCCTTTGAGAGGGAGCTGACACCGATCTTAACTACTCCAGTAGCTATCAAAATACCTGAAACCAAATCCTGAATCCATCACTCTAGAGTCCAGCCTTGGTAGACAGAAGAAAAATGAGGAGGAACCCAATAGAGGGATGCTTTTGGAAACTCTAGTCAAGAAATCCCAGTGGACTCTGATATGAACATTTGAAATTTTCCCTGTTCTGACTTTTTTTTTGTGGTTCTCTGTCTAGAACTTGTAATGCTAATTACTCTTGCCTTTACTTCTCCTTCACATCCCCTGTTCACAAGTCAAGGACTTTCTTTTCTCCCTACGGAAAAGAATTATGCAATTTGGGAGCCTTTTAGAGAGACCCACTGAAGGGGTACCCCAATTGTCTCACCCCATATCCCTGTTCAGCATGGAAGAAGCCAGAGCAGTCTGAGTCCCGATTCCCTATTATCAATTTCAGAGGATGGTGTGATAAGAATAGGAGGTAGGAATTGGCTAGGCAGTTAGGGCACAAAAGGCTCCAAAGAAAAGTAGCCAGTTTCTTGGCTAAAAGTAAAAATGTCTTTGGGTGGGCCTCTTAGCAACATATTCTGTTCCAAAGGCCAAAAATGACAAAAATATTTGGGAGCTCTTATCTAATCCCTAAAAGATTTTAGGGTTACTTCTTCAGAGGGGTAATGTTAGATTATCAAAAAGCCCCATTTAGAAAAAGAAAGAAAGGTAAAAAGAAAGAAAGGAAAGAAAGAAAGGAAGGAAGGAAAGAAGGAAGGAAGAAAGAAAGAAAGAAAGAAAGAAAGAAAGAAAGAAAGAAAGAAAGAAAGAAAGAAAAAGAAAGTACATGAAGTTGTCAGAAAAAAAGTGACGGGGAAATATGGGAGGTGTTGGAGGGCAGAGAGTGGGTGTGGATTTGATCAAAACACCTTATATGCATGTGTGAAATTCTCAATAAGGTTTCTTTTAAAAGTTAAAAAAATATTTATTTCTATTAATTTTTATTTTATGTGTATGAGCATTATGTCTGCATGTATATAAGTGCACCCATATCATGTGGTACCCACAGAGGACAGAAGAGGGTGTTTGATCTCCTAGAACTGAAGTCATAGACGGTTGTTAGCCTCCATGTAGGTGTTGGGACCTGAACCTGGGTCTTCTGTGAGAGCAGCCAGTGCTCTTAACTGCTGAGTCATCTCTCCAGTCCTGTAGATGTATTTTTAATTGAAAATGTGTAGTCAAGTTGAAAGACTCTTTCCTCATGTTGCAGGTTCAATTATTTTCTTCCAGCATTTAAAATGTAAAAGTGAAACTATAAATTATCATACTACCAGGCTTTGTAGTATAAAGAAATGGTGCAGTCTAATTTAAAGTTTTAGAATAGTTCTAATCATTCTAAAATCTTATATCTCCTGAAAAATCATGCTATTCTTTAAAGTCACTATTTCTTAATGTGTAAAAAATGAGCTATAATCCCATCATTCAAGAAGGTAAGTTGTATTTTACTTGAAACTATGTTTGCAAACCTGTTTTACCATCTATGTCCTCTCTCTCTCTCTCTCTCTCTCTCTCTCTCTCTCTCTCTCAGCTGTATGACTTGTATTAATGCTGGACTTTTATGAATATTTCCAAGTTTTAGCTGTTTCTTAAGTGTGATTATAAATAATACTGTAGTTATCATTGGCTCTTAATAGTGAATTGATTTTGGTTTTAGTATATTTTACTATAAAAGCAGTATGTGTCCAAGGTAGAAAGCTTTATAAATGACAGCAATTTTTTTTACAGATCCACTGTGAGATGAGTGTCAAATTCTTATTCATTCAATAACCACTTATCAGCAACTACCTTAGAGCACACTCTACTCCAGATATGAAACCTGCCTTTCAGGGTTAGCATCATAATGGAAATTTGGTGATGGATTCTGCTAGTGTCCTATGTGTAAATATGTGTGTGCACTTTTTTAAAAAAGCCCATGCTATATAAAAGTTGTATTATAACCAAAAATTCTCCTGGGATGCAGGAAGAGCTTCCAGACCTTTGATCTTTTACAATATTATGTTTAATGACTACAGAGATTTTTGTGTGTGTGTGAACGTATAATCATTTAGTCTGGTGTCAGATGCTGTAATTCTTTTCCAATTCTTTTCTGTATTTACAGTCTATAACATGTAGTTTTTGCTTCTCTTCAACAGCACAATTAATATGACCATCACAGGACATGAGGGCACAGGCAGTGCTGTCTTTCTTCTTCATCATCATACCATTTACTTATGGATTTCAAGGTAGCTTCTTTGGTAATACATGTATTAGTTATTTGTACCATTAGAGATTAAGAGTAGCACAAAATGCAAATTGGCTACAGATTGTGCATCTCTAGTGCAAATTGAAAATGCTCCAAAATCTAAATCATGTTGAGCACTGACATGGCACCACAACTGAGCTGTGCCACAGTTGCCCTCATGTGACAGGTCACAATTAAAACACAGACCAAATAAAATTACCTGTAGGATAT